ACTTTGTTAGGGATTTTTTTGGGAGAAGATATCCCAGTGGGGCCAAGGCTTAGCAATCTACAGCAAATGTTTTATGCTTTATTTATCTTTTTTTTTTTTTTTTTTGAGACAGGGTCACGCTCTTTTGCCCAGACTCAAGTGCAGTGGCATGATCTTGGCTCACTGTAGCTTCCACCTCCTGGGTGCAAATGATTCTCCTGCCTCAGCCTCCCGAGTAGCTAAGGTGAACTACAGGCACACACTACCATGCCCAGGTAATTTTTGTATTTTTAGTAGAGACAGCGTTTTACCATGTCAGTCAGGCTGGTCTGGAACTGTTGATCTCAAGTGATCTGCCTGCCTCAACCTCCCAAAGTGCTGGGATTACAGGTGTGAGCCACCCCCACCCTGTTCTGAAAGCTTTATTGTTTTTTTTTCCTTTTTTTTTTTTTTTTTGAGATAGCGTTTTGCTCTTGTTGCCCAGACTGGAGTGCAATGGCATGATATTGGCTCACTGCAATCTCCGTCTTCTGGGTTCAAGTGATTCTCCTGCCTCAGCCTCCCAAGTGTCTGGGATTACAGGCATATGCCACTATGCCTGGTTAATTTTGTAATTTTAGTAGAGATGGAGTTTCACTGTGTTGGACAGGCTGGTCTTGAACTCCTGACCTCAGATGATCTACCTGCCTCGGCCTTGGTCTCCTAAAGTGCTGGGATTACAGGCATAAGCCATTGCACCTTTTTTTTTTTTTTTTTTTTTTCCCCGAGACAGAGTCTCACTTGGTAGCCCAGGCTGGAGTGCAGTGGCGAGATTTCGGCTCACTGTAGCTTCCACCTCCCGGGTTCAAGCGATTCTCCTTCCTCAGCCTCCCGAGTAGCTAAGAGTCACCACGCCTGGCTAATTTTTGTATTTTTAGTAGATACTGGGTTTCACCATGTTGGTCAAGCTGGTTTCGAACTCCTGACCTCAGGTGATCCTCCCGCCTCAGCCTCCCAAAATGCTGAGATTACAGGCATGAGCCACTGTGCCTGGCCCCAGAGTGAGACCTTGTCTGAAAAAAAAATTTGTAAAAATGTGGATGGTGCTAAAAACACAGGAGAGAGAGAGAGAGAGAGAGAGAGAGAGAGCGAGAGAGAGAACAACAGTGACATCTGTCAGTTTCGTCGCCTACTGCTGTTGCCTGCCATGTTCTGCTGCCTGTACTGGAAAGCAGAAAGCCAGGACACAGAGAAGGAACAGAAGCCTCAGAGAGAGGCTGAAAAGAGGGAAAGGTGGTGTAAGGGTCATTGCCGAGTTTAAAATGAGGAAACTGAGGCCAGTATAAGAAAATTAAACGCCAATTTATTCAGCTCCGCCTCGAGGTTCTCTGGTCTGGGGAAAGGGGGCCAGAGAAGTCGTGCTGACTTCCTGGGGCGGGGGTGGGGGGGCAGTTATGGCTAGGAGGAACGAGCAACAGCTTGGGTGCTCTGATTGGGTCCAGGGAGCGGGATTGGGATGGGGCCGGTCAATATTGGTTGGCGGGTTGTTGGGCGGGTTTTTCCTGCCAGAGCCACCAGGGTTGCATTAGCCAGAGCCTTCCAAGGGAGCCACGTGGCAGAGCTAGGTGCCGGGTGCAGAGTCAGGTGCCGAGTGCAGAGGTGGCCTTACGGGGGGGTCAGCCACCGTACTGGGTTCCCTCCAGTCCTCAGCTCCCTTCTTCTGAACTCACCTGCATCTCACCCAGTATCTTTCCAGCAAATTCCCATGATCTCTTAGGCAAATCAGACTGGCTTATCATTGCTGGCAGATACAAGAGCTGTGGTCTTTACAGCAACATTTGATCAATCAGCAGGTACCAGGACTTAAAGGTAAGTAAGGGAATCTGTTGGAAGAGGAAGAAAACATTTTGCCAAAGGCTTTGTTTAGGTAAACCAGCCAAAAAAAAAAAAAAAAAAAAAAAAAAAAAAAAACCGGCCAGGTGCAATGGCTCACGCCTGTAATCCCAGCACTTTGGGAGGCCAGGGCAGGTGGATCACCTGAGGTCACTAGTTGGAGACCAGCCTGACCAATATGGTGAAATACTGTCTCTACTAAAATTACCAAAAAATTAGCCAGGCGTGGTGGCGTGTGCCTGTAGTCCCAGCTACTCGGGAGGCTGAGGCAGGTGAATTGCTTGAACCCATGAGGCGGAGGTTGCAGTGAGCCGAGATTGTGTCACGGCACTCCAGCCCGGGCAACAGAGCAAGACTCTATCTCAAAAAAATTAAAAGCCAACAAATTAGTAGCAAACTTCAGTTATCCCTGAAGATTCAGAGAAGTAAAAACATGAGCTAATTCTTTCTGTCACCAGGCTGGAGTGCAGTGGTGCAATCTCACTCACTGCAACCTTCGCCTCCCGGTTCAAGCAATTCACCTGCCTCAGCCTCCCAAGTAGCTGGGACTACAGGTGCATGCCAACCACGCCCAGCTAATTTTTTTATTTTTTAGTAGAGATGTGGGTTTCACCATGTTGACCAGGATGGTCTCGATCTCTTGACCCTGTGATCTGCCCACCTCGGCCTCCCAAAGTGCTGGGATTACAGATGTGAGCCACCACGCCCGGCTCCTAATTCTTGTTTTTTTTTTTTTTTTTTTTTTTAAAGATGGGGTTTCACCATATTGGTCAGGTTGGTCTGCAACTCCTGACCTCAAGTGATCCACCCACCTCAGCCTCCTAAAGTGCTGGGATTACAGGCGTGAGCCACTGCGCCTGGCCTAATTCTTTTTACTATAAATGAACTAAAACGATGTGTATACATCTGTTGGTACATGTGACATAATTTTAAAAATATATATTTGGTCTCTGTCCTTGGTTCCTGGCACACAGCTCCTAAAACCCTTGTAATTTCCCAAGTGATGGGGTGATAAGAGCATCTTTTGTTATGTTTAGTCTTTTTTCAGTGTTTTTCTTCTGTGTGTGTGTGTGTGTGTTTTAGAGTCTCACTCTGTCACCCAGGCTGGAGTGCAGTGGCTTATGGCCACTTTGCCTCCTGGGTTCAAGCGATTCTCCTGCCTTAGCTTTTCCAGTAGCTGGGATCACAGACGCCCACCACCAGGCCCGGCTAATTTTGGTATTATTAGTAGAGGCAGGATTTCACCACATTGGCCGGGCTGATCTTGAACACCTGACCTCGTGATCAATCCCAAAGTGCTGAGATTACAGGCATAAGCCATGCCCAGCTGAGGATTGGAATTTTTAGCCCCACCCCTGATCCCAGGAGAAAGGAGACAGGCTGGAAGATGAGTTTAATCACCAATGGCCAGCGAATTTAGCCCATTGCACCTAAATAACGGAACGTCCTTAAAATCTCTAAACAGTTTGAAGAGCTCCTAGATTTGTGAGAGAGGCCTAGAGAGGCCATGAGAGGTCCACGTGCCTTCCCCATACCTTGGCCTATGCCTCTCTTCCTCCCACTGTTTATTTGTACCCTTCATAACAAACCAGTAAATGTAATTCAAGTGTTTCCCTGAGTTCTGTGAGATTTTAAAGCAAAGTATCAGACCTGACGAGAGGGTCATGGGAACCCCCAATCTGTAGCCACATCAGTCAGAAGCACTGGAGGCCTAGGCTTTGCAACTGGCATTCAAAGGGAGGGCAGTCTTGTGGGACCGAGGCTTTTTTTTTTTTTGAGACGGAGTTTCGCTCTTGTTACCCAGGCTGGAGTGCAATGGCGTGATCTCAGCTCACCGCAACCTCTGCCTCCTGGGTTCAGGCAATTCTCCTGCCTCAGCCTCCTGAGTAGTTGGGACTACAGGTGTGCATCACCATGCCCAGCTAATTTTTGTATTTTTAGTAGAGACGGGGTTTCACCATGTTGACCAGGATGGTCTCGATCTCTTGACCTCGTGATCCACCCGTCTTGGCCTCCCAAAGTGCTGGGATTATAGGCGTGAGCCACCGTGGGGACCGAGGCTTTTATCTGTGAAGTTTGACTCTACTCCAGGTAGGTAGTGTTGGAATTGAACTGAATCCTAGGACACCCGGCTGGTGTCAGGAGAATTGAAGGACTGGTTGGTGATGCGGTTTGGAGCTATGTCCCCACCCAAATCTCACATTCAATTGCAATTCCTAATGTTGGGGGTGGGGCCTGGTGGGAGGTGAATGGACAGTGGAGGCTGAGGTGGAGGTGGAGGCAGATTTCCCCCTTTGGTGCTGTTCTCATGATTGGAATACTCTGGAGATGTTTTTTTCTTTAGTTGGAGTCTTGCTCTGTCACCCAGGCTGGAGTGCAGTGGTGCAATCTCGGCTCACTGCAACCTCTGCCTCCCGGGTTCAAGTCATTCTCCTGCCTCAGCCTCCTGAGTAGCTTAGACCACAGGCATGTGCCACTGCATTAGGGTAATTTTTTGTATTTTTAGTAGAGATAGGGTTTCACTGAGTGAGGCAGGATGGTCTTGATCTCCTGAGCTCATGGTCTGCCCGCCTTGGCCTCCCAAAGTACTATGATTACAGGTGTGAGCCACTGCACCTGGCAACAATCCCACAATTATAAGTCTTAAATAGCCACAGCGACGGTATTAACATTTATTTAGGAAGTTTACAGTTTGCAAAGCATTTCTGGTGTAGACAATGTGTGGAATGACAGTAGGTGGGTGTGGGAGGAAGGGAAAAAGATTCAGCGTGCCCAGGGTCCCTGTTTGTATCAGGACAACCTGCATTAAAGCTAAAGATGGGGCCAGGAGTTTTTTGTTTGTTTGTTTTGAGATGGAGTCTTTCTCTGTCACCCAGGCTGGAGTACAGAGACACGATATAGGCTCGCTGTAACCTCCACCTCATGGGTTCAAGTGATTCTCCTGCCTCAGCCTCCCAAGTAGCTGGGATTACAGGCGCCCGCCACCACACCCACCTCATTTTTGTATTTTTAGTAGAGAGGGTTTCACCAAGTAGGCCAGCCTAGTCTCGAACTCCTGACCTTAAGTGATCCATGCGCCTTGGCCTCCCAAAGTGCTGAAATTACAGGTGGGAGCCACTGCGCCTGGCCCATTAATATAATTTTTAAAAAAAAATATGGAACGCTTTATGAATTTGCGTGTCATCATTGCACAGGGGCCATGCTAATCTTCTCTGAATTGCTCCAATTTTAGCATATGTGCTGCCCAAATGAGCACTCATTAATATAATTTCCTAAAAAAATATGAGTGACAATGGCCCGTGACAAAGCCCTCAGGAGGGCTTGAGAACACGTGCCTAGATCTCCTTTCCTGAGAGGTTTGCTCTGAGCGCTGGTGCACTGCTTGCACGCGGCAGGGGGACAGTCAGGAGGCCGACCCCTTGCCTTGGCAGAGGCGGTGGTGCTGGGTAAGGTGAGCCGCTGGAGGGGAGGAGCAAACAGGAGAGATTCCACTTTCCCCCAGAGCCACTGTCCTTTTCTCCATTTCTTCACCAGGAGTTGGAGGTTCCTGCTGATCTCTTAGAGGGGAGATGAAGGTTAAATGAAGGAGCGCATAAGCCTTTGGCTCAGAGTAAGTTCTCAGTAAGTGATAGGTGGTGTTTTTTCCCCCTCACCGAGCTTACCTTCTAGTGTGGGAAACAGAACAAGTGGTAAAAATAAAGTGCTGGGATTGAGAGGGGCGAAAGGGGGCGCTGTGGGGACACTTGTGTCTCCCCTTGAAATAAAGCAACAGGTGAATGGGTATCCCTGCCCAGCTTTCTGTCCTACTCACCATCTTTCCGACTGAATTTCTTTGTGTTCATCTGTCTGCCTTCTTCTTCTGTTTCTTCTAACAGGAGATTTTACTGACTCTTGCTTCCCGAAGAACTATCCTATTTTTTTTTTTTTCTTTTTTTTTTAAGATGAGGGTTCACCATGATGGCCAGGCTGGTCTTGATCTCCTGAACTCAGGTGATCCACCCACCTCGGCCTCCTAAAGTGCTAGGATTACAGGCGTGAGCCACCTCACCCGGCAGAACTATCCTATTTCTATTCTTGTAAAATTGTTTTCTTCTGGGAGCAGGGAGTCTCCTGTAGGAGACCAGCTCATTCTTCTGCTCCTGGAGAAATAACTGATGCCTTCCTGGCTCAGGATGCAGATCCAAGCCAGGGCCGAGGGCAGCAGGAAGTGCTGGGTTTTCTCTCTAGGGTCACTGCACAGTCACCACTCACCTCCATCCCATTCTATCTTCCATATGTGCAACAACTTGGTTCCATTCATCCATGTCCAGATGGGCAGGCTGGGAGTGCGGGCTGGGAGGTGGCCTCCAGTAAGGAAGGGAAGAAGGACTTGTCTCTCAGTAGAAATAGCTATCATTTCCTGACACTTCCTCTGTGCCACAGACTTAAAGATCATTTTTTAACATTTGAGTATGTATCAGTAATATGTCAATGGAGTGAAAAAAAGGGTAATTAGTAAAAAATCCTCTGCCCTTTTCCTGAGATGTATGATGCATTTACAAACACAGATACATATATATTCTTTTTTTTTTCCACCATGTTGGTCAGGCTGGTCTTGAACTCCCAACCTCAGGTGATCCGCCCACCTTGGCCTTCAAAGTGCTTGGATTACAGGCATGAGCCACCGCGCCCAGCCTAACTTTTGTATTTTTATTTTATTTTATTTTATTTTTATTTTTATTTATTTATTTATTTTGAGACAGAGTTTTGCTCTTGTTACCCAGGCTGGAGTGCAATGGCGCGATCTCGGCTCACCGCAACGTCCGCCTCCTGGGTTCAGGCAATTCTCCTGCCTCAGCCTCCTGAGTAGCTGGGATTACAGGCACGCGCCACCATGCCCAGCTAATTTTTTTTTTGTATTTTTAGTAGAGACGGGGTTTCACCATGTTGACCAGGTTGGTCTCGATCTCTTGACCTTGTGATCCACCCGCCTCGGCTTCCCAAAGTGCTGGGATTACAGGCTTGAGCCACTGCACCTAACCAGCATGGAGTCTTGCTCTGTTGCCCAGGCTGGAGTGCAGTGGCACGATCCCAGCTCATTGCAACCTCTGCCTCCTGGGTTCAAGCAATTCTCCTGCCTCAGCCTCCCTAATGGCTGGGACTACAGGCTCACACTACGACACATGACTAATTTTTATTTTTATTATTTTTAGTAGAGTCAGGGTTTCACCATGTTGGCTAGGATGGTCTTGATCTCTTGACCTTGTGATCCTCCTGCCTTGGCCTCCCAAAGTGCTGGGATTACAGGCATGAGCCACTGCGCCTGGCTCCTTTTTTTTTTTTTAAACCCAAATGGTGGCTTACCTGATACACATCTTCACATCTTCATCTTTTTTTTTTTTTTTTTTTTTTCCTGAGATGGTGTCTCACTCTGTCACTGGTGCTGGAGAGCAGTGTCATGAGCATGACTTACTGTAACCTTGAACTTCTAGGCTCAAGCAATCCTCTTGCCTTAGCCTCCTTAGTAGCCAGGACTACAGATGTGTGTTACCACACCTGGATAATTTTTATTTTTGTAGAGATGGGGATCTTGCTATGTTGCCCAGGCTGGTCTTAAACTCCTGGACTCAAGTGAGTCCTGCCTCAGCCTCCCAAAATGTTGGGTTTATAGGCATGAGCCACCACATCCAGCCTCCACCTTGCTTTTTCACTTAATAATATACATTCTATAAATATAATTTTCTGTATATCTCCATATAGAGCTATGCAATTGCTGGACAGATATGTCAAAATTTGTTTAACCAGTCTCCCATCAGTGGAAATTTAGGCTGCCTCTTGGCAATTTTTCTGGCCACGGCCCTGGGACCTAAGCTCTAGTCTTATATACACATTTTACAGATGAGAAAACAGGCTCAGAAAAGTTTGTAGCACATGGACCAGCTCAAGGAAATAATCAGAAGCCAGGTTCCCATCCAGTGACCTTACCCTTAACCACAATAAAAATAGCTTTTATCAGCCAGGCACGGTGGCTCATGCCAGTCATCCTAGCACTTTGGGAGGCTGAGATAGGGTGGATCACTTGAGATCAGGAGTTTGAGACCAGACTGGCCAACATGGCAAAACCCCAACTCTACTAAAAATATGAAAATTAGCCAGCGTGGTGGCGGGTGCCTGTAATCCCAGCTACTGGGGAGGCTGAGACAGGAGAATTGCTTGAACCTGGGAGGTGGAGGTTGTAGTCAGCTGAGATTGTGTCACTGCACTCCAGCCTGCTGACAGAGTGAGACTCTTTCTCAAAATAAACGAACAAATAAATAAAAACTTTTATTTTGAACTAGGAAATGACTTACCCACATATAATTTTCTGTTTTAGATCTACAGAAAAACTTTATAGATAAGATAGTTTTCACGTGGCCCATACCCAGTTTCCCCTACTATTAGCATACTTTATCAGTATGGTACATTTCTCACAATGAACAAAACAAGATTCATACATGACTATTAACTGAAGTCCCTACTTTATTGAGATTTCCGTATTTTTAATATGTTTTAACTTGTGTACCGGGATCTGAGTGGCTCAAACTATTGGCGTGCACCACCACATTCAGGTAATTTTTAAATTTTTTGTAGAGATGGGGTCTCACTATGTTGCCCAGGCTGGTTTCCAACTCCTGGGCTCAAGCTATCCTTCCACCTCAGCCTCCTAAAGTGCTGGAATTACAGGTGTGAGCCACTGCTTCCAGCTTCCAGCAGTTTTATGTTTTTTTTTTTGAGACAGAGTTTCACTCTTGTTACCCAGGCTGGAGTGCAATGGTGCGATCTCCGCTCACCGCAACCTCCGTCTCCTGGGTTCAGGCAATTCTCTTGCCTCAGCCTCCTGAGTAGCTGGGATTACAGGCACGCACCACCATGCCCGGCTAATGTTTGTATTTTTAGTAGAGACGGGGTTTCACCATGTTGACCAGGATGGTCTCGATCTCTTGACCTTATGATCCACCCGCCTCGGCCTCCCAAAGTGCTGGGACTACGGGCGTGAGCCACCGCACCCGGCCGATTTTATGTTTTTAAGCTGCACACGAACAGAGGTAAAGATGAAAAGAGGATACAGTGCAAAACGTAAAAGACAAACACTGCATGTAGTTACAGTTTCCCTTCACTTGGCCCGCTAGTTCCCCAACCAGGGTTACCACAGGTAGTCAGTTTATTGCACCCTCTAGGGAGATAGCTTAGACATTTACAAACGTGCACAAATTTTTTGTTTGTTTGTTTTCCTTTTTGTTCCCAAATGGTAACTTACTAGATGCAGTTACTTGGAATCTTGAGGGTTTTTTGTGTGTTTACTTTTTAATTTGTTTATTTTAGAGATGAGAGTCTCACTTGTTGGCCAGGCTGGTCTCACACTTGTGGGTTGACGCGATCCTCCGGCCTCGGCCTCCCAAAATGCGGGGATTACAGGCGTGAGCCATGGCGCCTAGCCGGTTATTTTTGGTGTTTATTTCTTTATTAGATTAGCTTTGATTTTAGATGCCGGGGGTCCATGTGCATGTTTGCTACGTAGGTGTACCGGGTACTGGCGGGGACTGCGCTCCCAGTGCGCGCAGCGAGACAGCCGGGAGGTCGCTGCTTGTTGCCGCCGCTGGATGGAGCCTTGCGGGACCTCCGGGTTCCGCAGCCCCTCTCTGGTCCCTGAACTCGGCTCCTCGAGGGGTCCCGCCGGCGGCGGGCGTGGGAAGGGCAGCTTCGGCGCCCCGCCCCGGCCTCTGTGATGTCAGCGCCGGAACCTGGAATCCCGGCTCCGCAAGGGAAGGTCGGGGACGCGGCGGCGGCGGCGGCGGGAGCGGATCCCAGGCGGCTTCAAGAGCGCGGGGCGCAGCCATGAGCGAGTCCAGCGCCAGTGCGCTCCCGCCGGGCAGGCCCAGCCGGCAGCCCGCGGTCCACCCAGGTAGGGCTGCGGGGAGCGCGCGCGGGGACGGTGCCCCTGGGGTCCAAGGGCGCACGGAGGGAGCCGGGTCCTGGAGGCTCGGCCAGGCGCCTGTCCCCTCCTATCCCCCAGGCGCTGGGCGCTCCCGGCTCTGGGGGAGCAGCAGGTGGGAAGGGGGTTTTCCTTATCCTGCTCCCTCCTCCAACGCGTCCACTCCCAATCCAGAGGGAGCCAGCGGGGCTAAAAGGAGCGCCAGAAAGGTAGTCCGGTGCTGGGTTTGTCTGCCAGTTGACCCAGAGACCCCGGGACGGTCTTTCAACAGCCTCATCTGTTAAATGAAACGATTGCGGGTACCC